CCTCCGCCGCCGCCACCGCCGCCACAGCCGCCGCTCCGGACCGACAGGACATGAGGCGGGCGGCGGCGCGGCGCGCAGGGCCACCGTGCCCCGGCTCACACACTCGGACCGTTATTGATCATGGCCGCCGTCCGGCCGGGCGCCGTTTTCGCCGACTTGGGGAGCTGCTGCAGCCGCTGACAGGCTGCCGGCGTCTGACGAAGCGCCTGAGCGCGGCTGATTGCTGCCACTGAGCAAATTGGCGTCTTTTGTCGACAAAGTGGCCCGGAATGACAACAGGATGACAGACGGGCGAAATGCTTTTGACATGGAGCGTAATGAGCATGTCTTTGTTTTGTAAGATCCGAAGGACAGAACGCGTCTAGTTGGGGAACTGACAATTGCGCAGGCTTTTTTCGAATATCGCCAGTGAGGGTAACATTTGGAAATGCAGCTGGCGTAGGAATATATTTCGCGATAACAACAGCAGTCCGTTGCGATCTTGTGCTGTCCCGTGCGTACACATTGTTACAACTCGGACGTCAGACACAACGTATACGTTTTGTGCACGTACAAAACGTTACTGGTTGCTTACTGAGTCGATTATATATATATATATATATATATATATATATATATATATATATATACAAATGTACACATACGATATCACTTTTTGTGCATGCAGTATATATATATATATATATATATATATATATATATATATATATATATAAATGTATTATATGCATATAAAGCGATTAAAAAAACGCAAATGTTTAAAAAATACACGGCTGTATTTCACGTCAGTCCTGCTTGCTTCGCTCTTTCGATGATTTGTCATCATTTTCCACAATTACCCCTTTTTTGTATCCCACGCAGGGTATAATAGTGTCCTGTTCGGTTGGGCATACGGCTCGAACACACGGACCTTGGGATGAAAGGAAGTCAAATTTAGAGATGAGCTCCTGTTTGTATTTTGGTTGTAGTTTGAGGCATTTTTCATTGTGCAGACATTTCCGTCCACTTACTTTGCGAAATTATGCCCCTTATTTCACGTATGTACATGACGACGCCAACCTGGTTTTTGACGTGTGCCTACTTTGAATCGCCTGTGGAGAACTCGCAAACTCATAATCATACCAATGCCGTGGAATGTGGTCTGTTAAGCGCACAGTCACACCAAGAGTTTGAGCGGAGTATCTTTAAGCGAGATTCACGTGTTTTGACTGGCAAATTCACGATCTTGATCGAGGTACACGGCACTCGTCGCGGTGCTTTAGAATAGTTGACACGGTGTGCGCAGACATTCTTATGTACATCGAGCACTTCGACCTCTGCTCTGTCTGTGGTGCATGCGCTGTCAGGCGCGCATCCCATGTTGTGTTTATCAGCAGTTTAGTGCAAATAAATTGCTCTAGGCTTAGACGGGTACTGCACGAAACTCCTGAACACCTGATGTGTCTGGACTTTGCGGTGCAACTCGGCCGCAAAAAGGCGGCGACGAAAAAATCTGCGGGACTTAATTTTTTAACCATTTCATTTAACCTGAAGGCATTTACAGCCAGCCTCTCCGTTTTTTCAAGTGAACCCAGCGACTTATGAATTGCGCTGGTATTGAAAGCTGGTGCCGAGTCCGAACGCAAGTCTGCTGTGGCGCCGACCGCGCCACAACTCCCCTCGCGTGTTTACCCTCGCATCGTAAGCCGCGCGGACTATGAAATGGTTCGAATCAAGCCCGACCGCCCTGTCAGCTGCAGCTTTGACGGACGGAGTCGTAATCGTTTTCGAGCCTGACCCGGACCGAGCTCTGCTCTGTATCTGCCAAGGCTGCGGGAGGCTCAGTGTGTCAGCCCGGGCGGCTGGCCGCCTGCGCGCCGTTGCGCAACACGGCCGGGCCGGCGGCCGGCCAGCCGAGGCGGCGACGCGGCTCACCACGGGACCGCCGCGGGCCGCGCCGGGCCGCCGGGCTTCGAGCGCCGCGCCGCTGACGCGCTGGTGGCTGTCCGCTAGATGAGCAGCGCGGGTCGTCAGTGCGGATTTTATTTTAGGGCCGGCTGGCAGCGGGCCGGCGCACAAAAAGCTGGCGGACGGCTGGGACGGTGCCAGCGGCGAGTTGCGCGCGGTGGACAACAGATGGTGCTGCGGATCGCCGCGTCGCGCCCGGCCGGCAGGACTTTCGCCTGGCCGGCCGAGCGGCGGGCTGAGAGGCTCGGATACCAGGACGAGCCTGCCGGCGGACCCGCGATGACCTGCCTCATGTGACTGTGGCCGGAGTTGGCTGGGAAGCCGCCCCGTCGGGGAGGTGACGCGGCGGCCATCACTCACTCTGTGTGCCACTGGGAACGTCTTCTTCACCTGAGGTCATGGGATCCGCCTTGGATGTGCGGATTTAGTGGCCTTGCGCCTCATGGCGGTCTTGCTCCGGATTGGCCGCGCTCTCGTCGCCCCACGTCGTGTCGACTCCAAGGCGTCAATGATCGCCGGCGTTGTTCGTGACCAGCAGCCGCCGATCAGCCGATGTCGTCCGCCCCCCCCCCCCCCCTCCCCATGACGCCTGTACCACACGGGGGAGGGAGCCGGAGCGGGCGTGCCAGAGGGGCTGTTGCGGCCGTGTCCAGTGGGTGGCAGGGCGGGTGGCGCTCTGTCGGTCCGCCCGCCCTCTCGCCGGGAGAGCAGCTCGGCCGCGTGCCGGCGCCGCTCCGAGAGTGACGCGGGCCCGGCCCGGAAGTCGACCCTGCGGCCGTCCGGCCGGGCGGCGCGCCACGGCCACTCGGCCAATCAATACAGCGCGTGGACGGCGCCGGCCTCGAGAGGCTGGTCGCCGGCCGGCCCGTCGCCGCCGGGCGACGACGGCGCCGAGCACGGGGCCGCCCGTGCTGGGGCGCACCTCCGCCCAGGGTGGACCTCAGGTGGATTGTCCCGGCACCTCCTCCGAGGTGAGGCTGCTGGACCCAGCCGGCCGGCTGGTGAGGTGTGCGTTCAGCACGACCCGGTGGTGAAGGCAGTATTCAGTTCGGCGCCAGCTCCGGGAGGTGAAAAGAAACCTACGCCAGCGTAAAGGCGACGGCCGCTAACTCAGTACCCGTGATACCGGAGCATTGACGGGACCGGCGGTGTGGGGGTTTTATTTCACCGATTGATAGTACCCTGTATTGACCACTGCAAACTCGACATTACTGACTTAAATTACCACTCACCATCATCATCACTGGTAGCATTCAAATACGCGTCAACTTATAGCCGCCTTTCGATCATTATCCTTGTATTCACGCTGCTATCGGTGCGGTGCCAGTAGCATATTTTTTTCTAAAGGAGAATATCTGGTCGTTTTGAGAGCTCTGCCCAGGGCTGCCTTCCATCATCTTGATGCCTGGACCGAGCCGCTCTTTCGCAGCCAAGCGATCTCACTGCGACCTTTGCCATCGGCATCTGCGCCTGGGGCAACTTCATTTATCTTCTGTTAACACTGATCCGTACCTGTGCCTACGCCGCCTGGTGTAGGCCTCAACGACCCACATATGTTTCCAGCGGCCCTCAGTCGGTACATCAGACAGGGGCAGCTGTCCTCCAGAGCGCCACGCTCGCGCTACCCTCGCTCTGGTGTGCGACTTTTCCCGGGGGTGTCTGCGACTAGCGCGGACGCCTCCAGCTACGGCGGCCTTCCTGCCGGCCGGTCCGCCCAGGACGTCCGCCGGCGTCCAGGG